GGGCCCATCTTCCCCAGACCCGAACCCTCGACTCGGGCCCCAGCCGGAGACCCTGGCGGAGGGACCGGGGGAGAGGGAGCGGCACTCACAGGCGCCGGCCTCCCGGACCTCCCAGCTCCTCCAAGTGAAGCCCGGAGCACGGTCCCTCCCGGCACCGGAGCTGGGGACTCGGCTGCACCTGCGCTCAGCTGCCTCTGTGCTCTCCCTGCAGGTGCGGCCGGTGATCGCTTTCCAAGGCAGCCGAGGGGTAAGAAGGGACGTGGGGGGTGTGCGGGGAGAACAGACGCGGGCTCGGGGCCGGAGACTGAGACGGTCACGGTCTGAGGAAGTTCCTGAGAACTGAGCCCGAAGGGGGTGAGGGGGCTGCTGGGGTGGCGGTCCCAGGAGGCTGCGGTTGGAGTCTGTGCCCTCTCAGCCTCCTGGGAACGCGGGCCCAGCTGCACCTGGCGTGCTAACGAGTCCCCCGGGACCCCTCTTCAGTCTCAGGCGGGCTCGGGGAGAAAGGGCACTGGCAGGAGGGGGCAGGGTTGACTCCTGGGGCTTACGGTCTCCTTTCACTCCCAGTATCTGAGGCTCCCAGGCCCTGGCTGCTCCTGCCTCTTCTCCTTCACAGTGTCCCAGTGTGGCCAGGAGGGCCCTGGTGGTGGCCTGGACCTTGTGTACCAACGCTTAGGCAGGTAAGAGAGGGTTTGTGGGAAGTCAGGACGGGGATGTCCAGAGCTGCTTTAAAAGTTCTCCACCCTCCCGGTATGTTTTCCACCACCTCTTTCCAGACCTGGGCCTAACCGCCTGCACTGCCTGGGGCCACTCAGGGAGCGCCTCAGTATTTGGGCAGCCATGGATTCTCTCCCAGCCCCATCTTCAGGTCAGGGACACAACCTGACCGAAGATTCCAGAGATCCTGAGAATTGGCACATCGGGGATTATTCTAGAGATGCAGTTTCACAGCCACAGATGGTACCAGAGGAGGTGAGGCCAGAAGAAACTGCAGGGAGTTGGGATAAGGTGGGGCAAAGCCTGAAGCCCAGGTAGCCAAGTGCCCCTGCCATTTCCCCTGCCAGGTGCCAGATCCACGGGCCAGCAGCCAAAGACGGTCACTCCCCGGATCCTCCAGGGAACACACGGCACAGTGGGAAGTGAGGTACTTGGGCAGAGTGGGACTAAGCTGAGAAACCCTTCCTCGAATCTCCACCCTAAGTGATACGATAAGAAATCTAGCTCTACCTCCTACTCGGGTCTTCATCTCTTCCATCCTAGGAACCAGACCTGTCTTCCAAACAGAGAGCCTGACCAGGCACTGCCTTCTGCTAGCCAGAAACATCTGAACAAGGTAAACTGTAACAGAGTTTTTCAGAGAGATTTGTCCAATCAGGCTACAGTTTTAAAGTTGGGGTCCTTCATTTTGATGCTCACAGAGATTACTACATGGAAATAATTTTCAAGAGAGAGTAGGGGGCACAGAGTAGGAGGCTTCTTGACATACTATTAGTGTGACAAAAGTATTTTCCCCAACAGAAGCGTCCAGCACCTGCAGCCACTACAAAACTGAAGGAAAAGAGGCTCAGAACTCTAGCCCCAAGTCCCCTACAAGGACTGCCCAGTCAGGACCTACGAGAGGGAGAAGATTGGGAGCAAGAAAATAAACATGAAGACATGGGCCCCAGACTGGAGCACAGTCCCTCAGTTCAAGCAGGTGAGTTAATGAGAGTAGTGAGAGGAGGATAAAACTGCCACAGTGGGGGAAAGGCCGATAATCACCTTCATGTCTTCTTCCTTCCTTCCTAGACTCTGAATCCCCAAGCCCTGAAGAGGTACCAGATTACGTCCTGTGAGTCCCCTGCCATTTCTAAGTTTATCAAGCCTTGTGCATATGAGATTTAGATGAACTTCCTGGGAGTTTGGAGCTTTGGCAGGCAATAAAATTGAAAGTGGTTAACTTTACTCTGCTCCTGGCAGGCAATATGGGGCCATCCACACTGCAGAGCAGCAACATGCTTATGAGCAGGACTTTGAGAGAGATTATGCTGAATACCGCGTCCTGCATGCTCGATTTGGGGCTGCAAGCCAAAGGTTCATAGAGCTGGGAGCAGAGATCAAGAGAGTTCAGCGAGGAACTCCAGAACACAAGGTAAGGACTAGACTCAGGATGGCTTCCCAGGTCTACTGGCCATAAACTCCCTGTTTTTTTCAGTGACCGAAGTGACAAGCAAGCCTGTTTTAAGAGAAAAATTATTCTGTATCATTTGGTAGCATGAGAGGAAGTTACTTCCCTCCCTTAAGAGAACTAGTTTTTTTCTCATGGTTAAACTTGATGCTAGCATTTTCTTTGTTTCAGGTGCTGGAAGAAAAGATAGTCCAGGAATATAAAAAGTTCAGGAAGGTAAGACTAGGCCTGGGAATGCTAGCAATAAGGTAAAAATGAATTCCTTTTTTTGACATGGATGCTTTTTCTCTGCAGCGGTACCCAGGTTACAGGGAAGAAAAGTGTCGCTGTGAGTACCTGCATCAGAAATTGTCCCACATTAAAGGTCTCATCCTGGAGTTTGAGGAAAAGAACAGGGGCAGCTGAACTAACTGGTCAAGGGCTATCGACCCTCTCTGTCCGGTGTGATGCAAAGGAACAAAACAGCTGTAAATGAAGTAGAGTGCAACTGTCCGCTCTTGTTATTGCTGAATCCATGGTGGCAAGTAGGAGAGCTGCTCTAGGTTAAGGTTTGATTTTCATTGTTGCCATATATTAATTTTTAGGGTGTGGGCGCAGTGCCAACACTCTATAGCTGTGCCCAGGAGACTAAGAAAAGTAGCCACGGCTTGGCTTCTCCACCTTTAGTTCAGCAAGTCATTTTCAAATCTTAAGAAAGAAATGACACCCTTCCCAGGACAAGATACCTCAAGGACATTAGAATTCAGCCTGGTAGCCTCCCTAACAAAACAGTAACTTTTAGGAAGTTGTGATACACCTGGATGTAATGGGAATGGCTTGGGGTCTTATCAATGTACCGAAAGTGAATTCTTTTACAAACATGGCTAAAAATTAAAACTGTCTCTGTGTCCTTTGTACAAGTTTATATGCTTTTCTTAAATCTTCCAAAGCAGTGGTTCTTACCCCTGGCTCTATGTCTGAACCACTTCTGGGCTCTAAAAAAATTAGATATCCAAATCCCAACCCAGGTCTTGTGAATTAGAATCTCCAAGATTATGGTTAGGCTTTACTTCTTCAAAGCACTATGGATGATCCTGATAAATATCCTCCTACGTAATAAAGAGCTAATATGCTAATTAGACCGAACAGCCAGACGACCATCCGGACTAAGCAGGGGCTGTGAGGGCCAGCTGGGGCTACTAGTGCTGAGCCCCCCTGCACGAATTTTGTGCATTGGGCCTCTAGTTTTGCTATAAGTCTCTACCAAATCCATCTTATAATTGACAACTAGAGATGACAGCAGGAAAAAAGTTCTCTCTCTCTCTCTTTTTTTTATTAATCCCTACCTGAGGATATTTTTTCATTAATTTTCAGAGAGAGTGGAAGGGAGGAGAGACAGAGAGAGAAGCATCGATGCAAGAAAGACACATTGATTGGTTGCCTCCTGCCTGTGCCCCAACAGGCGTGGGATGAAGCCTGTAACCAAGGTATGTGCCTTTGCCTGGCTTGGGATGAAGCCTGTAACCAAGGTATGTGCCGGAATAGAATCCAGGACCCTTCAGTACACAGGCTGACGCTCTATCTACTGAGCAAAACTAGCTAGGGCAAGTTCTCCTTTTCTAAACATCGAGGTGAAGATCATTTACTATTAGAGCACCTATCTGGAAATATTCAGTGACTGAAAACTGTAACTATGGATAGGATTTGGATGTGCTCACAAAAAGGATGAGGGGAAATGTTTCAATGCATTCCTCGGTTGTTGTATAAGAAAGTGGATGCTTCATTCACAACCAGGAATGATATTGCCTTCCCCAGTCCACTGGAAAGGAAAGTTAATAGGCCACACCCTGGGCTTTGGGAGAGAGCTGCACCCAGCAGTGTCAGCAATTCCTGAAACAACTTGGATGGAACCCCAACCTGATGCCACACCCACGCAGGGCATTTATGGGTAAGCAGCAGCTCTTGGGAGGTATAAACACGGTCAGCTACATGGCAAGGACAAACAGCAACCCATCCTTAAGGCACAGACAGGGTCAGAAACAGATCCCAACAAGAAAGGGCCCTCACCTGTTCTAATTACCCAACGAGGGGCCTGGGCAATAAACATGTAAGGATAGAGACAAAATTTGGAGAGGATTTACAGGTGGAAACTATGGAGTCAAAATAGCTGATCTACAGCTGTACTGACCGAGATGGTAGCCACTAGCCCTATACAGTGGGGCCTTGACTTACGAGTGTCCCGACTAACAAGTTTTTTGAGATACCAGCTGTCTCTCAGCCGATTTTTTGCATTGAGTTGACAGAGTAATTTGAGTTAATGAGCTCCTTAATGAGCTCGGTCTCGGAATGAATTAAACTCGTAAGTCAAGGCCCCACTGTATATGACTATCCTATCTAATAAAAGAGAAACATGGTAATTAGCGTACAACTGCTACCCTTTTCATTGGCTAATCAGGGCGATATGCAAATTAACCGCCAACAAAGATGGCAGTTAATTTGCATATGTAGGCACAATGCAGGGAGGTGAAAGGGAAAGCAGGAAGAAGCCCCCTGCCACTGACAGTGATTGGAAACCCAGGGGGGAGCTAAGAGCCCCCCAGCCATGATCGGAGAATCGGGCACCTTTGCCACCCTGGCCAGTGATAGCGGGAAGTAGGGGTGGAGCCAGCGATGGGAGCTGGGCACGGGCGAAGCTGGCAGTCCCGGGAGCTAGGGGTCCCTTGCTCGGGCCTAA